AACGCCCATGGAACTGGTGTCTCTTTTTCTTTTTCTTTCGGGCCCTTTTCCCCTCTTTCTCTTCCCCTCTCCCCTCCCCTCTCTCCTCTCTCCTCTCTCTCTCTCCTCTCCTCTCTTCTCCCTCCCTCTCCTCTCTCTCCTCTCCTCTCCTCTCCTCTCCTCTCTCCTCTCCTCTCCTCTCCTCTCCTCTCTCCTCTCCTCTCTTCTCTCCTCTCTCTCCTCTCCTCTCCCTCCCCTTCATCTTCCCTCTTTCTCTCACTCTTCCCTCTCCCTTTCCTCCTCTCCCTCTCCCTCTCGCAGCGCCTTGTCACATCCCAGTGTCAGGTCGCGGGCCGGGCTGGGAGAGCGGAGGCAGCAGCTGTAGACGAGGCGAGTGTCACGTTACCAGCCTGTACCACTGCCTCGCCTCTCCCTCGGACTTGGCACTCGTGGGGGGGGGGGGTTGAGGCTGATCCTGAGGGAGAGGCTGTGAGAGTGAGTGGTCAGGCTTTCTCTCTCTCTCTCTCTCTCTCTCTCTCTCTCTCTCTCTCTCTCTCTCTCTCTCTCTCTCTCTCTCTCTCTCTCTCTCTCTCTCCTCTCTCCTCTCCTCTCCTCCCTTATTCTCTTCTCTCCTCCTTATTCTCTCTCTTTCACCCTCCCTCTACCTCTTTCTCCCTCTCTCCCCCCTCCTTCTCCCTCTCCTCTCTCTCTCTCTCTCTCTCTCCTCTCTCTCCTCTCTCTCTCTCTCTCTCTCTCTCTCTCTCCTCTCTCTTCTCTCTCTCTCTCTCTCCTCTCCCTCTCCTCTCCTCTCCTCTCTCTCCTCTTCCTCCCTCCCTCTCCTCTCCTCTTCCTCCCTCCCTCTCTCTCCTCCCCTCTCCCTCTCCCTCTCCCCTTCTCTCTCTCCTTCTCCTCCCCACTTCCCCTCCTCACTCCCTCCCTCTCAAGTGTTGTCTTAAACTGATCATCCGCCATGCAGCATCTTCACTCTCATCTCCTTGGCACGTGATGGATGTGGGGGTGGGTCGTCTCCCTGTCTGTTCACACGCACACATCCTCAGACACACGCACACACGCACACACAAATGCAGATAGACAGACGAGAGGTAGATTTAAAAGATAGACTCGTGTATAGGGAGGTATATCGATGTAGATAGATCGATTCCCGTACACACGCACACGCACACGCACACGCACACACACACACACACACACACACACACACACACACACCACACACACACACACACACACACACACACACACACACGCACATGCACACATATTTGTGGCAGGATATTATGAACGAAGTTTGTGGAAATGCATTTTTAAGTTGATTCCACAAAAAGCAAATGGATATTCGGAAAATGTGCTGACGTCATGTTACCTTTTAATTAAATTCGTCGGGCTGAAGATGAGCCGGAAGAGGGTACACGCCCATACATGCATGCACACACACACGCGCGCGCGCACTAACAGACGCGTGCGCACACACGCACACACACTAACAGACGCGCGCGCGCGCACACCCACCCACTAACAGACGCGCGCGCCGCGCACACCACCCACTAACAGACGCGCGCGCGCGCGCGCACACACACACACACGCACTAACAAGCGCGCGCACGCACACAAGCACATGCACGAGCGCATAAATTAAATAATTATTTTATTTATGCCGACAGGAGACGGATTTCGAGTGGCCGCCCACAAGTGTGATAATTAACTATACTAACTATATTCATTAGTCACTGGAATGTCCTGTTTTTTTCCTTTTTTCCTGTTTTTTTCCTGTTTTTTTACTCGATTGTTGAAAGAGGAAAAAAAGTTGTTTTTCCTCGAAGTGAATTAAGGGCTTTTTATATTGTATCTACGATGAATGTAAGGCTTGATTAACACTAAGAGGAAATATTCTCTCTCTCTCTCTCTCTCTCTCTCTCTCTCTCTCTCTCTCTCTCTCTCTCTCTCTCTCTCTCTCTCTCTCTCTCTCTCTCTCTCTCTCTCTCTCTCTCTCTCTCTCTCTCTCTCTCTCTCTCTCTCTCTCTCTCTCTCTCTCTCTCTCTCGCTCTCGCTCTCGCTAACTCGTTCCTTGTCCTCTTTCCTCTTTCCTCTTTCCTCTCTCGCTCCTCTTTCTTCTTTCGTTCCTCTCTTCTCCCTTCTCCCTTCTCCTTCCCTCTGACCTATCATCCGCTTTGCCTCTTCCTACCTCCGCCCTATCTCCCCCTCCTTTCCCTGTACATTTCTCCCCGTCGCTCCCTCACTCCCCAAGGGCCGCCACAACGCTTTCATAGTTTTCGCTGTTTGTTTTTGCGATTAGCAGCTGAGGCAAAGGCGATAATGGACGCCGCCGTGAATCAGGGCTCGGTCAAAGGCGTGGAGACCTACGGGGGACTCGAAAACACACCGGCAATAGACACCGGCGACCGAGAAGGCGTTTGGCGGGAGGGAAGTGCAGAGAGGAGAGGAAATGTGGGTGACGTCCGCCCAAGGCTACGTGACCCATACACGCGCCTGTGTGAAGACGGCGCGTTATGACCTATAAACACGTCGCAGCGTAAAGCTGGGAGAAGCCTATGGGTGGGGGAGATCAGGGTAGAGGGAGGGAGGGAGGAACATGGGCGCCGCGATTAGTAGAACCGCCCTTTCGGCAGTGGCGATTTGTGGAAGCGCTCTTTGGGCAGTGGCTGGGTACTTGTTATCGGAGGGCGAGGGTAAACAAACTGCGAATCCGGGGATCCGGTACTACAAGAACGGTAGTGTCTGTGATGCTTATGAGGCGCCATTTTGTGAACGGAAGAGTACCAAGTTTGTCTGTTTTTTCTTACTTTTAGTGAAGGTCGACCGTGTAAGCTTTTTTTCTTCGTGGGACATCATTCATTCTGACAGCATCAAAACTTGCATTTTCATTTACTCCCTCGTTGCATGACATTGACTTGTAGATGAATGCTCAGCGCGTGTCAAGCTAGACGCAGTAGACACCGATTTATGCCGTGCCGAATCCGAAATGAGTTCCTGGTAACTTGTTTTATTTTTTACTTGGAAAGAAGGACCGAAAAACATCCCTCCGAGCTTTAATCACTGATTTAGTTAAGGCATTACTCATCTTCAATTCAGGTAACTATTTAAAAGCTCTGCAGTTGCTGAGGGACCTTCGTCTAAGTGTAAATCTGAAAGGTCAGGGAAACCAAGGAGGGTGGAGTTGGCCAAGGTCACGGCGAAGCTCTAGGGTGACATTTATGACCACTTTGTCACGCCACGAACAAACTCGACGGGAAACGCGCTGCACTTTCATTCATATATATTGTATGATCTGAATGCAGAAAATCGTCTCCATTGTTTGGACTCCATGTTTATTCATCTTGTCATAATTTCCATTTGCTTTAGTGTATATGTATATTCTTTGTGTTGAACGTTCATTGTGTGTCACTGAGCTTCCGTTTGATTTGTATGCTATCTGAACTTCCAATTATCTGTATCGCCACTCGCCCCCCCCCCTCGCTACCCCTCCCCTCCCCCTCCCACCCCCACCGTATGTACCGCGACCAGCGCCAAACTGACACCGGAAGTGACCATGGTTCCGGAGGCGTGTGTCCTGGCGTGGCAGGGAGGAGTTCGGGGAGTGGAGTTCATGTTTTACAAAACGTATCGGCTTCTCTCTTAACAAGGCAGTGTGATCCTGTATCCATTATGCACAAGCTCAAGTACTGGGTATGAGGCAGTTACAGATGGCATTTTCTCTTTATAAAATGATGGAAACGGTGTTGTGGTTGTCTAGTGGAGGCAGTGTCGCCGTATGGCTCGTTCTTCAAACTGTTCGAGGCAGCCTAAGCCTACGTCCGCCGCCCATCCGCACTTCCGCTCAGTGCTGGCCCGCGCAGTCACTACTCACGCCTTTGTACTTTTATTTCGCCGCCCGCACTTTTACCTCCCTGTTTCCTTTCGCGCCTCTCCTCATCCACCCAAAATATCTATGAAGTTTTGTAGTTTAGCTTCAGCTCTTACGACTGTCAACGCGGGAGAGAGATTCCTTAATTGTCACGTGAATTCGGTCGCCACGCTGGTACGGGCTGTTCTAGGGAGCGGTTCTTCCAAAACGCGAGGCCAGAGGGAGAGGGAGAGAGCGTACGGAAGGCCCGTTAGTGAGCTGACTAGAGTAACATGAAGAAATAAAAAACTTGTATCCTTAACGCTGGTACTGCATAAACCGTGGCTCTGATTCCACAACCCCAGTCTCAGGCGATGGTGAAAAACAATGTGATGTCTAAAAATAAATGAAAGTTTAACGAGTGACGCATCTTGAGAAATACGATAATGGGATGACCTACACTTCTCCACATGTTAGAAGTGTCGCATGTCTCAAACTCCTTGATCCGCGAATGTAAAAAAGTTTTACATAGTGTCGATTGGGTTACAGTTGTGTGTCACTTTATGGTGTACTCAATTATCTTTGTACTGATTTCACTAAGTTGCAATGAAATACTTTTTAGAATATACTCATCTTATATTCGTAACATCTGAACATGGAAAATGAGAAATTATTTTAAACGTGTATTTTACCAAGATATACTTCAGACTTCTGGGTTATCGGTTCTTTCATTTTTGGTTGGAGTAAACAGGCTTAAATATTCTCAACTCTTATTCGTAACATCAGAACATGGTAAAATGAGGAATTATTTTTCAAAAAATCTTGTGTATTTTACCAAAATATAGACTTGTGGGTTAACAGTGCTTTCATTTTGTTTGGAGTAAACAGGCTTTGTAAGTCGTAGTATCCGCCCCCTCTCTCTCTCCCTCTCCCTCTTTTCCTCCCTATTGTGTTCCAAGTGTGACCTGACTACGCAGCCTTGGTGGGTAAAGTGAGGTCACCATGGAGGATGTGTACCGTACTTTCACCTCCTGCTTATCGTGTGAAGTTCTTAATAACCCCGAGTTTTGCATTTCTTATTGTTTTCCGTCCTTAGGTTCGAGAAATTATAGTACTGTAGCGAAAACGAATTTAATGGTAATGATATGAAGTAATTGTGGAAAGCTAAGACTTGGACACGAGCAGTAAAAGTAAAAATGATGCGAAGGGATAAGTTGTAGGATGAAGGCGTGGTTGGTGAACGTTAGGGCTGGGCAGTGACCATGTGGTCTGCTTTATAAGCCTTCACTGGTGGCAATGACCTCGTGTCTTCATTGCAATCACTGCAGCGGTGATCCATGACTGCGAGGCGGACCACAGGTGACTGGCACTTTCCCCTGCATGTGATTTACTTGCAAATTTCATTAACTGTTTGCGATTTTCCTTTGATTTGATTTCTCCGTAAATTTGCCACCTATAGCACTTTCGGATCAAGACTGCTGACATTTTTTTTCTATTATCACACAGTTAACGGTTCAAATATAGGATAGGAGGGTGACTTGTACAGGTACATCAGATAATTCCCCCGTGTTGTATGTCAGAAGAGCTGCCTCTGCCGGCCAACAAGTCCGATTTGTTTTCCGTTAGTGACCACGTGACGGCAATCCCACGGGTAGTGTTACCAACTCTATCCCTCCCCCCTTCAGTGTTATCAAACACCCCAGCCTTCTGGTGTTTACAGTTTCCATTCACCCTGTTCTCTTCGTGTGATCTGCAAACTGGTCGCTGTAGACAGGTGGTCGAGTTTCATGATCCGTAACAGTAAGGTTGATTGCGCAGTCATTGCAAATACTTTTCCTTTTTGCTCTGGCTGGTGTGATACCCTTGCGTTCGCTTTGAACGTAGAATAACCGCTTCTAGATCTGCCATTTAAACATTATCGAAATGTCCTTTACAGTAATACACGTCATAGGCAACGAAACGCAGTGAGAAACCTAGTTAGTGTTGTGTGGTCACTAGCCGAACAGAGGCTTTTGAAGGGGGGGGGGCGTGTATGGGCGCGTGTCGTCTGGCGTGCGGTTATCCTTCCTATCATGTGGTTTCAGCGGGGAAGAAGACTGTGTTGCATGTAACTTGATACAACCTTTCGGGGACTTGTTGCTGCAATGTCGGGGCGCTTGTGTGAGGAAATAGGATCGACGCGGATTTCACTCGGGACTAAAATCCTCTGAACATTTCCACCTTAATGTTGAAAGGTTATTAACGTTTTTGATGACTTCCGAGGAAATTTTCCCGTTTAAGAAAGTGATGTCGCTAGTTAGGAATTCACGTGACAATGCAGATGAAAGTACTGTTGCAGGAGTACGAGTCTTGAAATAGGGGGGAAAAAGCACGGAAAGTAGGCGTCCATGACACGGCGTCCACTTAGCTTTCTCTCCGGGCACTGACTCTCCGCCTTCGGTTCTATTTTCCTTCTGATGACAAAAATATTGTTCGGTACCGTATCTTGTTAATGAAAATGTTTGACAAAAAAAAACTTTTATTTTGACCTGCGAATGTTTAGCTTTACGTGCAGACATGGTATAACTGACTTTTCTAAACTGACATCGTTTTCATTGACAGATTGTGTTGAAGAATTTGTATCAATAAATGATTTTTTTTTCTTTTTTACAGGTTCGCGGTCGCTGGGCAGGCCGACCAAACCTGGACTTGGTAGCAAAGAAGTGCAATTTAGGCGACTGGTTCTTGATATACCACCTCGGGCGCAACATGGAACCCATGGTGTATGGCGAGTTCTTGAAGGAGTTCGCCAAGGAGTTGGAAAATTCAGTCTCGACGCTGGAACGCAAGCCAATGCTAGTTGGTAGTTAATAGGAAGTTTGCGATTACCTTTTTTTGTTATTGGAGTTTGTGATTGAAAACTCGAGCCATTCAGTGTCAATTTAAGTGTATTAGGTTATGTCGTAAGTTTTAAGAAGATTAGAAAAAAGGAAATCTATCTTTTGTTTTTTTTAGTTCTTTTACAGATGAAATTAATGATAGTGAAATTATTTTTAAATGGATGAAAATTTACCGAGACATGACTCAGATTTGTGTATGAGCATGTGAAGTTGCAAGTTTGATATAAAAATAGTTAATGAAAGAAGCATTAGGTGTTATATTTTTTTACAAGGAAGAATTGTAGGTGTTAATGATGAAGACAATCAGTCCAATACTGTTACCTGGAGTGAGTGAACCTTTGACAGGGGCTGGCTCACCTGCACGTGATCTAGCTATTACACTATGTACATAACCATGTGCCATGCAGTCGTGTGAAATTTAATTGAGAATTATTTTGTGAATGGAGTTGCATTGATGGTAATGCTTGGTACAGTTTTGAAAAGGATGATTGTTCTCCATGTAGAACTAGGACTCAAAATTTGTCATAAGGATCAACTTCATATAGTAGATAAGTTGTCAAATGATTGTATTCCTACTTTGACAAGCCATTTTATTATGGCTTTGATGAGCATATTGTTATTGTATATTTTTGTAGTGCATTCTGATTAATTTATCTTTTAAAGATAGTTGCCTCCTTTAGGCAGTAGAGATATACTACAGGAGCATGAGTCATTTACTTGGATCTCTGTTAATCATGATAAGTACATTGATCAACTTTAAGAATCAATAGAGAATTTAACAAATACTGCCGGAGAAGTAACTTGAATGATATAGTAGGGAATAAGCTTGATTGTAGATTCTTAGAAGCATGTGCTGCTGCTCTCTAGCTGATATTGTCCAGAGATGCAACTAAGGCATGGATGTGCCATGGCGTGACTGGAGGATGTGATTAATTCTATACAAATTCACTATGTGATAAACAGTAGGATGGTATTTTATAATGTAATTACTGTTATTCTCTTTATTTTCTCAACAAGAGCACTATGAAAGACACGTTTAGAGATTTTCGTTTTAGGCCTAGAAGCAAGATGGTTTGTCATGCTCTTTAATAGCTGACATTGCAGTTAAATGAAGTGCCTTAAAAAGAAATTGCTCAATGTGTGATGGCAGATTTAAAGGATAGATGCACATATTTGTTGTGCTTTAATTCTCTGAAATATGCAATGGATGATATGTAATTTCTGTAATTGTAAGGATCTAAAGATTTTTTTCCCCAAGTTCAGTTATTTAGAACCTATCATTTTTTTTAGTTTGCTTAATACAATTAAAGCATCAATGGTGACTTTGTATCAGTTTTGATTTAATTAGTTGCAACATTTTTTGTGGTTCCTATAATAATGTATGTATTTTTACTAGTGTAACAAGATCATTTTATATATGTCTCTATGATGAAAAATACTACCATTAAAAGCAGTTTAGCAGGGAGACAGTTACATTAAAAAGGTGAGAAAAATGCCTTCGACAAGTAACAAAAGAAATTTGATTTTGTTTTTGAACCACTTCCAGTAAGAGTGAATATTTAGTAGAAAAGAAAGGTAAAAGTATAGATTATTTGCCCTTACATATTGCAGATGTTTTACAGAACTACATTGGTGAATATTAAGGAAAGCAGTTGGCCAAAATGATGACATAAGACTGCAGTCTTGCAAAATTTTGTAATACTGGGGTGAATAAAGAAATTCAGCACAAGTAGTATTCTTTATATCAACCTTTTTATTGAGCAAGTGTTGAACTAAAAGAACACAAGTAATAAAATGTTTTATTTTTCTCTATATAAATCTGTCATATTACATAAAAATATGGATTAACCATTGTGATCATCCTCATGGTACTTTTCAGCATTCTTTGATTGTTAGAATGAATGCATATTCATTATTTCACATTGCAGAAAATCATTATAATAAAAAATCAGAATGAGTATGCATTACTTACAACATGTAAAAAAAAATTAACCTACAAGTCTCCCTTCACTTTATTTATCACATGTAAGTGTAAACTACAAAGCAGTAGAAGTCAATAACATACTTTTTCTTTGCCTCTGTGATAGTAACATATCCTAGTACATTTTCATGTTGGCAGTCTTGGCTGATTATTTATCATAAGCTAATTGTGACAGGGTGTTTAGCTTTGTAATTCCCAATCATGAACCTTTATATTAATTTAAAAGCACCAGATGAATCATTACAATAACCTAAAAAATAAAAAAAGTTACTGCTAGCACCATTGTAAAATCATAACTTATAACAGAAAAAGTAATAAATACGTTCTAATACACATGCGAAACAATCCCAGGTGAGCAATTTTTCTGTGCTGTAAATTCAGATTCTCATGATTTTTCTTGCATTGTGGCAAATTTATTGGTTACATCTTATTTTCAAAAGTACATATGAAGAACAGATACAAATAATCTTATATTTACAATGCAGAATATATTGTATAATTTCCTTATTTATATAATCATTAAAGACATTCATTCTAGTCTACAAGTAAATTATCTGAAATGTGATAATTACTTCCTATCAATTGTTTATACCTTAAAAGGAATAAGGAAAGGAAGTGACCTTGATTCTTTGGTAAGATACCTTATTTGTCCCACAGAAAACACTATTTTCAGCTCTGGTGTTAAATGGAATAGATAACTAACAGAGGAGTAAACTTTGTCATGGTGCTGATCACATTTTCATTATTTGTTTGCCACATCTTACAAAGTAAAAAAAAAAAAAAAAAAAAAAAATACAATGGTTTGACATTTGTTGTTCCTCCTTTGGTTTTTACTCTTCTGAACTTTTAAGATCCCTGCATTGATAATGTACTATCCTGCCCTCCACAGAAGGCTGTGATTATCCAATTCTCTTGTGCTTAAAAACAAGTAACTTTGGTAATTTGCAATGCCCTCACAACCCTTTGTCACCTGAAGCTTCTTGTAATACTAATCATCCATAAAAAAGTACCAGCAAAGCTCTTACTATTCAAATGATAAAAGGTGGATTTAAATAAATTTACTTTATATATTTTAAGACAAGAATGTCTTACTAATACTGTGAGTAGTCAATTTTAATACCTTAAGCAGCATTCAGAACTCTTCATTAAAACAAAAAACATGCCCATTGTTGTTGTGGGTGAGGGTGGCTGTTTGGAGAAGGGAATTGGGGCTCACCCCTGCCTTGAACCTAAGCTCTCGTCTCAAATAATTTTGCATGTCTCTTTTCTTCTCCACCTTTCTTTTTCATTCTCTTCATCCCCTTCTGTCCATATCCTAAAGTGTGAGAGCCACTGAAAGGATGAAAGGCTGGCTTTGTGTTGGTCTTGAATTGGCCAAAGTCATATTCTGTTTGCTATTTCCTTTTTTTTTTTTACCCTTTTCACTACCATACTAACTTACAGCACTCTACAACCTTTGACATACATCTAACATTTGTGCTGATTGTTATCTCGTTTATAACCTTTTTCCCACCATACTTAGTCATAATGCTGTATGAACTTTTCTTACCAGGGGGGCTTTGCCCCCAAGCCTACCCCTATTGCTATATTTTGTATAAGCCACCAAAGATGATATAGCAGAAATTTTTCAATAAATATATAATCAAAAAAGTTGGACAAGATGTTTTTACAGTTTAAAACTTTCCATCTCCACACACCTTTGTAGCTGGGTGAGCAGGACAAGATGAAATCACAATAGCATTTATATAGAAACAATTATAGTTGCTGGCAATCACAAGATATTAGTGAGTAATTTTACAGACCTTTACTGTAATTAAAGATTATTTTTGTTTTGTCAGTTGTAGATAAGTTAACTGTGCATCATAGTAGTTACAAAACATATCTAGTAAAACAAGATGCTAGTATAATAAGAGTAAATGTTTACTTTAAAGCTGGCTACATTGTGGGTAAAGAAGGCCTCAGGTGGGTTTTGACATGGCCTCATTGTCCTGCCGGCTCTGGCTGCGCAAGAAAAGCAGTTCTGAACACAGCATTAATACCCAAGTGCAGAAAAAAAAAAGTCATGTGGTATGACTGACTGACAATATTTAATACAAATAGAAAATGACACATGAACAATAGTAACATCTCTTCTGACTTGCATGGTGACTACATATATTTCTATTATGTTTTCACCATCCCTCCTTTAAAAAGGGGGTTTGCAGGAAAAAAAGATTGGTGACCTTTTTCTCTAAATCTGATCCAATTGAAGAGAAATTGCAACCCAAAAGTTCATAAGACTCATTTTTACAGATTTTGAAACACTTTTTTGCCATTCTAGATCTGACACAAGAGTAAACATGCCAGACTATGTTTGCTTGCTATTGGTAAACTGAAAATTTCATTAATCAATTTATTATTTTTTTCAATTGATGAAAAACTATGGGACTATCTCTGTATTACAAAAAGCTTGCTCAATGACTAGAAAATAGTAGTTACACACGTAAGTTATTTAACAGAATCTACGAAAGAAAGTCATCTTTTACTTCAATTTCCCATTTTTCAGTATAAATACATAAGCACATCATATACAAATGCAGTCTACACTTGGTGTAACCATTTAATTATTTAATGCCCAAAAATTATCAAATGAAATATATGTGTAAAACTGTGCATTCAGCCTCAAAGCAATATGCCACAGGCAGTAAAACTTGACATTAGAATTTAAGTATGCCAGATAAATTGATCTATTGTTTAAATACAACAATATTTAAAACTTCTAAAACTAAGAGTAATAAAACATTTACCTGAGTTAATACAATGATGTGTGTCTTCCACTGAATGGAACACAATTCTTGTTCTGTAATGTTCCTGGACTGTAAAAGTTGAGTAACCTTAAGGCTTGGCATAGAAATGAGGTGTACAGGCAACAGCTCTCATCTAAGCGAGCCTTCTCAGCTGCCGATTATGGAACTTTGATTAGATAAACATATTCATTCAATAGACAGACCAGACCCATACTTAAGTGATTTTTCACCCACCTTGGAATTTTATAATGTATAACCAGTCTGAAAAAAATGCATATAATTTTGTAAATAATAATATTGAAAAGAAAAAACACTTCTAAATTTACACAATCAGTAAAAAGGAGGTAACGAATTATAAACTTTAAAAATTTTAATATAATTTTTTGTCAACAAACCCATAACTATTTGAGCATCTCTTCATTTTGCTGTTCCATACCATCCACAAGTTTAACCCATAAATATTAATAATAATATCTGGATTGTGTCCTGTACTAATGTACAAAGGATAATGGCTTCCCATCCACATACAAATACATTTCCCACACACAACGTTAAAATATTATAATAAAAAAAATAACAACTGCTTCCAATACACAGCCAGCTACTCCACTTTGGACTTCTGCCGATATGAAATGATTCCTGCAAGTGCTGCCCCGACTCCAGCAGAAAGAGTGCCTGTCATTCCTGGACCATATATGCTTATCTCTTGAGTAAGACCTGCTATCAAGGGGGTGATCATACGTGCTACTGAAGCTATGCTCTGTCCAAAACCAGTCACTGATCCCACCTGACAAAAAGTAAGAAAAAAAGACAATTAAAAACACGTAAATCTTAGGAACAACAAAGAGGATGACAGGTGATTTTTTCACATATCATCTAAAGACTTTTTTTTTTTTTTTTTTTTTACTATGTAAATCAAATAGTGCCTCACTTTACAAATTAATAATGAACATTACTAGATGAAAACAAGTGATTACAGAACATATAAAATACACTATCATTTAAAAATGTTACTGTAAGAAAATGCATTTAATGTACATGGTGCTGTATCTCAAAGATGCTACCTTCTAAAATGCAGAAATATATTTTTCAATATTTTCAAGCTTACTGAGATGGTCATCAAAAAGTATCAGATAATATGTTTTTCTGGAGAAGAATTAAAATTGCATATCCCTTCATTGTCACAACTTTTTTTAAACTATGTTTCACAGTAATATAACATTTATCAAAATGTCTATTGTGAACTAATTTCAGTTTATACGAACACCATTAACCACATGCCGCCAGGGATGGCATGTGCATATTATGCCATGCCCACTGCATGTTTTTATTTAGTAATTGTTTTTACATATAGATGGCTCCTCAAGTACTGAGTCACTAATGAGCCAATTACAAAAACTACCTGTCTCACCTGTTTACCATTTTCATTGATTTTTTATATTTTCTGGTATCTAATATTGCTGTTAGTAATATAAATAACACTAATAGCAATTATTATGTTTATGATAAAAATAACAGTATCAATATTGATTGCATTAATAAAAAAAACATTTTTCCCTCAAAATCAAGGAAAGGTGAAATCATGTGAGGTCGCAAGGTCTACAAACTGACTCCTTTGTGGCTAAGCACTGGCAGGGCCATCTATGTGTAGAGACATTTCACAAAACAATAGTACAATGAACACAACATATTCCCAGGGTCATTAGGTTAATAGTTAAATTGGTTTAAGCACAGAACTACTAATAAGGCAGGCTCATTTTCTATTTAAAAAGTCTGAGTACAATGCCATAGAAGTTCATTTGCCATTGGAATATATCATCACAATAAGCATACTTAACTAATGATTTATGGGGAGACACATAAAAAATGAAAAAGGTAAACAACCTAGAAGTCTGATTTTCTGGATGTATTGACAATAAAAGTATCTTTATAGCATAAATAACAGAATGCTGTACCTCAAGATGTCAAGCTAGTTAGGCTTTAAATATTCATAACAGCCTCATTATTTGTCCAGCAGAAGTGTTCATGCATGTAAATTGTATTTAAATCAACATATAATCCTAGTTTTGCTAAATAAATCAAAGGCTGTATCTCCCCTGCCTCCTGGTACATTTTCATCACGCAGACTAATGTGAAATTTCTTACTCCTGTTTCCTATCCTACATATATATTTTTAGAAACTAAAACACATAAATACTTCTTCCTTCTACATGAATCAAATACAGCAAGTCAAAAGTAATTATACTATACGCTAGATTTTTTTGTGAATATTTATTGAGAAATTTTCAGAAATTTCATATATTGAGATAGGCTATGCAAGGTTCTAAAAGGAATATCAACTCTATTTTTTTCTTTGTTTAGATCATATCCATACATATTCCTCATACAAAAAAACATTTACAACGGTCATGATGTGCTGATGTCATGTTATGAATACCACTTTTTTAAAAACTCTTTGCACCTTTGATGGGGATTCCTAGTGTGTTACTGTACTAGAAATTTATTTTAACCAGTTGGTGATTCTCCATTCTTTTATGACATTCCACACCAATCAGAACAAGAAAGGCAGTGAAAGTTCTATGCTTAGTAGTGCAGTGAAATTTGTGATTCTCCATTCTTTTATGACATTCCTCACCAATGCTGCTTAGTAGTGCAGCAGCAAGAAGCCAGCACATGATTTTGATTACAATAGTTAATGGTTGAAATAAATAAATGTGCTAGGCATCTAAGGTCATATAGTACTATGGTAAAGTATTGTGGCGAAAGGGTAAAAATGAGTTAATGATTAAGATTAAGAGTGTTACATATCAAAGGTTATGGAGGGTTATAGGAGAGTATAAAAGGGAAAGGGGTACAGAGGGGGTGCAAATGAAGTAAATTGGTGATTAGCACAGGAAAGGGTTAAAGGCATAGGGCAATTGGATGAAATGGGGTGTATCTGTAGCTGGGAAAGCTATAGGAACATTGTTTTTGTAAAACTTGCAAAACAGCTATTATGAAATAATAAACACGTAATACGGGTACAGATGGCTGTTGATGAAGTTGCAGAAGAATCCAGGGGATGAGATAAGGGAACTGGGGAAGGTGGTCAAGTATCAGAGTGTCAGAAGGGAGGGCTCCAGAGAAGAACACTTTGGAGATAGAAGGGATTCACGGGACACCTGTTTTGGAATAGGTAAAGAGTGAGAAACCTCATTGCTGTCCTTCCTGTCTGGCCTCACATAGAGTGAAACCTAGTTTGAATCTGAGAAATGCTAAATCACACTCAAGCTTATAAGCAGTTCAACTTCTATAAAATACAATATGAGAGAAACCACAACTGGCACAAGTACTTAGCAATTTGAATGGTCATGACCAGGTTGGGCACATAGAGTGCAGCGGGCTGTGGAGTGACAGTATTTGGCTGAATGTCCAAAACGCCAACATTTTTGACACTGATAAGGAAGGGGTCTATATGGTCGGACATGGGGGAGGTCATGTCTAAGGGAGCTAATCTTAGCAATATTGGTGTAAGACTTATATTGTCCTCCAGGAGGCATTGTGTAGCAGTGTACTGCTACTGGATCATAGTCATTAAGGCAGGCAAGTAGATAATTTTCAAAGTCTGACCAGTTTTTGTTGCAAATAAGACAATCAGTTGGGAAGACAGAGAGGAGTGAGGTTCAGCAGGAATAAGTTTGCCAGTGAGGTCAGTCAGGGTAGATACTGCACAAGCTTGGGACTCAGATGTAACTGTCACAAGGCATGAACGATCAGAACGAATGCGAAAGGAAACTTTGCCTACTTGTTTTTGGAGACACTGTTGGAAGGGAAGAGAATTGTCACACTAAGAGGCTGTAGGGGGAATCACAAAGAATCAATCCCACTTGGCTGGGCCAAAGAGAATGCTCAAAAGGTTTGCAGAGGTAGAGGCAGTAGAAGGACCAGGGTGGAGAAGACAGGGGGGGGATGAGGATCATAAGGGTGAATAGTAGTAATGAAGGGGGGAGGGGGGTAGACAATGAAGAAGTCTTTGCAGTAGGAGATGGAGTGGAGAATGTTGGGAGAGAGGAAGGGGTGCTTTTTTTTCGGTTGAGTAATACCTGGGTGGGTGGTTTCAAATGGAGAGTTGTCAGTAGACATCATGGAGGGGTTATTAGTATCAATGGTCAGAGCCGTGTTCAAAGGAGAGGTGGGGGTCAGAAAACCAATTAAATCAAATTTAGATAGGCTAGTTGATGAAAGATAATAAGGATAAAACATCACTATCGGCCATGGTGAGCCTGAAATAAGTGGGGAAAAGAAATGATCTACCCCTCAGGATCATCAACATATTGGGTAAGGGCCATCCAGTTTTTTATCCTTTCAGTACAGCTCTAACACCTTAGGAAGTGGACAGAAGAGGGAATGAAAAAGAGAATGAAAAGGAAAGGAGAAGAAAAGACAGCAAAATAAGTTGAGGCGAAGGCTGAAGTCTCCGTCTACATCTGTTAAAATGTTTGTTAATTACAATTCAATTCAATTTCAATCAGAAGAAGCATAAGCTCCTTAGTTTGTTGAAACTACAAATGGCAAAAGTCAAGTACCTTGTCAGGCTCACATCGCCCTATGGTGATGGCTGAGCTGCTGACTCTTATCACAGCAGAGCTAACACACAGAGGTATGAGGCACGCTAGCAGTAATGTTAAAGATGGTGCTAAAGTCAACCCCAGCAGGGCTAGCGTAAGAAGAACCGAGCTGTGGAAAAGTTCCCGCTGAGAGTCCTGGTAGATTTTGGACACCTTGCCTGTAAAGAATCCAGCTACAGCACTGATGATACCCTGTAAAAGAAAATAAATAAATAAAAATAAAAAAGTTATCATTGGTTCTATGACTGTGTACAAAACCTCATCAAGACCTGGCATGAATATCAACAATATGATCACAGCTGTATTCCTTGGTCTTTTTGTCACTTTAGCATAAATAAAAATATTTATGATAATTATATGCAGATATGTGTCAATTTCTTAATGAAATCCTGCTTTCCTTACTACTACTGTAAAAGAAATAACATTGCAAAGGGATGGCAGGGAGTCTTGACACCACCCATGAGCGTTCATGTGTACCCAGACAAAAAGCCACCCATGAGAGTGGCCACTCAAGTAAGTCTAATGCTTATATTATGAGCCATATGTGGTCAGCAAAACATCCCAGATAAGGGATTAATTAACACTTTTATAATGTTTATCCTATAGCTCCCACCAGCAACTTTACACAAGTATATCACACTGAGAAACATATGTACCAAGGTCTTCTTCAATATAGTACTAAATCTCATAAATTAATACCATTATAAAAGCATACAAATCTGTGTGTAAACAAGGGATAACCGGATCATTCCAAAATAAATAAGCCAAAATGGTTGACAGTATATTGCTCAAGTTTTATATTTTATGCAGTATAAATCTACAGGAACCTAGGTCTCTAAAATAGCTTCCTAGACATGACAGCCTACTAAAAATAAAATGCTTGATTGATAATACTACTTGGGTTTCTGCAAAGCTACAGGTCTTCTAATAGTTCACTATATCAATTCCACACTAACAAGCTAAAGATAACCACATAGGTCCCATTCAAACAAAGTTTCAATAAATCTATATTATAAGAAATTCTGCCACAAAATTAGTTGGTAATGATTAAAAAAGACTGATATTACTGATATTCTATGAGAGCTGGATAAGTCAAGGTTATTGAAAGTGCATTAAATATTACAGGACCCATCCACAAGGAGTTAACTCATAAAAATGTGGTTTTCAAATTAACAACCTTTAGATATAAGGCTATTAGATGCCATAAACAAAAGAATATTTATTCAAAAGGTATGTAAAATAACTATCAAGATGGAAAATATCAAACTAATGTATCAACTTATTAATACATAGCATTAGTTAAAGAAAGCGCCTTTCACTTTGTATTCAATCATGTTATAATCAACATCACTGCAGCCCGTGTAACATTTACATTTAAATATTCTCAAAAAAACATAAACCTTTATAAAAGACTCATCCAAACACATTTCACTCATCTCTTTAGTCTCACCTGGAAAGATATAAGGTAGCCTATAACCTTCGGACTAGCACCAAAATTCTGATCAATCAAAAGGGAAAAGTTTGATCTGTACACCAAGGATGAGAAGCTGAGGAAAAACCGCACGAGGAAAATATCTCCAAACACTTTCCAGTCGATGTCTTTCATAAATGAGAATGCTTGGAGGACTGTTTCACCTTCTGATATACTCTTAGATGACCGTGAGTGAGCTGACTCAATATTCGGGACAAACAACCAACACAATGCTGAAACATAAAAGAAAAAGCAATGTATAAATGAATATGAAAATATAAGTGAAGAAATTTGTCTACAGATCAATCATCAAATGAGCTCATCATTTTGAGATATGGTGACATGCCAAGTAATGCAAGGACTTCATATTTGTATAATTACTAATGTGACAAGTTACCGGCAAACTACATCTCTCTATTTTCTCATTTTATTTTTTTTAATTATGTATGTCAAAAAGACTTCCTCTCTACTGTCAAGAATGCAAAATGAAAAGGCTTATGGCTTAATCCACTTGACTGAATGACTTGATAATGTATGTCTCAGTCAACAGTATAGATCACTATTGTGCAAAATTATTCCATTGAAAGATAAGCCGGTGATAATCAATGACAATTATTTTGCAGACTTGAATCTTATTGAAATAGAACTGAAAATCTTGAATACAGGAAACTAATCTAAATCATTTTGGTATTTTAATACTTTATGATGGCATACTCCCTGATCCTCTAGGTTAACTTCATATCTACTATATAAGAATCAATATATACATACAATTTATATATGAATGATTATGAAAAATCTGTCTCTACCTTTCCAAAACCTAATAGTTATGAAATTCTACTCACCAAAGTCCAGGATAAAGAACAATGCACCAATATTGCAGACTAGGGTAAATCCATTCTCAAGCTCTGAGAGGTGACCTGAAGGTAAAATAAAAATTCAATCATTATCACAGCCATCAAGTGATCTCTTATACCAATGGTATTTGTCAGTGTTACTGCAAAAATGATATCCCATTCCTAACATTTTTATTTCTATACATAAGAAAATAATATAACAAAGTATATACCTTAAAATGAAATATGAAGCTAAACAGCTTCTTACTTAATTTTGTACATTTTACATGCAAGCACGCACGCACGCACACACAAAATATTCGCAAGTACAGCTACATAGAAAACTGTCATAAGGAGGGGTGTTAAAACATTCAATAATGAACAGGCCCCATGTTACAGAAGGTTGTTATTTTGAGTTTCAAATCTGTCTTGTTCTAATTCAGGTCTTGAATAGTCGTTCTGAAATTCATATGGATTCATTGTGAGATGATGATTTTATTCCCATAAGGGATGGAATATGTCTTGCAATATTCAGATAAGCCACACATGCCCTGAAGTAGTTGGAAACTCAAGGATACCATTAGTTTCATAACATCAACAACTGTATTTCAAAAAGCACCATTTCTCGTATTAAAAGGTTTATCATGATTTTCTAATGATACTATTCTGCGTAGCTGTACATGCAGGCCTCAAATTTGGCCATCCTTTACCTCCAAGCATGGGCCCAACAATGAACCCCATGCTAGATGCAGCATTAAAAATACCGAAAACTCTTGATCTGTCCTCTGGTGGTGTCACATCAGCCAGCAGAGCTCTGCACACTGTTTGGCTGTGCTTGAATATTCCTAGAATTAAATATTTCTAGAATTAATGAGAAGAACATAATATATATAAAAAGTGCACAAAGTACATATCAGTGAAACTTATTGATAAAAATCTTTTTGATTCACAAATTTCAAGAATCCATAATATTTCCCAAGAAGCAAAGTGATGCCCAAGACTTGCCTGCCATAATTCTTCCACTGATGATAACCAGAAGAGACTGAGAAGCTCCAAGAATTACATAACTGATAGCTGTTGCAATCAAGCACACCAGCATGACCGGCCGCCTCCCCCATCCATCACTCCATCGACCCTGAAACCCACTCATGATATAATGGTCCCTGATGGCCATCTATGATTGTCTGTTTTGAGCTTTCTTTTATGTCATCATTTTTCAAAATTAAATCTTAAACTACTTTAAAAGTAACTAAACTAATTACCAGTATAGTTGTCAAACATATATTTATCAAAAACTACAAACAAGAACACTGAGAAAAAACAATAACATTGATAAAGAACTAGACAGACTAAAGTTAAATACGAGAGCAGAGAAACTAGAAGAGATATTAAGCTTTAGCTATAAGCATTAGTACTGCTGAACATAATGAAATATAAAGCTAAAAATTTCAATTTCAATCACCATTTGCAACCATGCACTTCTGAAATTACTTACTAATTAATGCTACTATTTTTTTATAAATTTAATGGACAAAAAGATCTTAAGACTCATCTACTGAGAAGAAGTATTTACAAGAGCATATATAAACATTACAATGC